CTAGATATACATCAAGATACTGGATTGTTTCAAGTCGAAGAGAAACTGGTTTTGTATCATTGTAATTTATAGGCTACCTACAATAGTCACTACTATTAACGAATAGAGTATCCAATTAGCTGGAGGACTCATTACTGATACAGGCGTTATGATATCCTTAGGGTCTAATGAGCTCATGTGAATGCGTCTTGACCGGTGTTTAATAATGTGTCGGTAGTACAAATATATGCAGGTTACACGAATGCTGCCATGTCAAATTTAGAAGAGAGTAGAAAAATATGTAGTGGACAAGAATCAAAACAATCACGTATTTCAAGTGTTTAGTTTTAAGAAAAAAGTGGACTATCGAAGTCCTATGTAATAAAGTGTAAGAGTGTGCTTTGTATCTGTTGATATGAGTAGCTTCCTGTAACTACTGACCTCAATATGAACGTGTTATTTAGAAGAGGATTTCAGGAAGATTGGATTCGAAAACTATTAAACGAGAAACAGTTGCTTATACTTTTATTGTATAGTTAATAGAAGTTTGGACTATGGGATTCTTATATTCTACTAATCGTTAGCTTTTGCCTAATCTACAAACTCGTACTATATACCCTATGGTATTAGACACAACTAATCAATTATGTCTTCATTACTCTATTTTTGTATCACTTATGACTGGGTTGTGTATAAGTGGTAATTTTCTATTTGTAATGCTGTGAAATCGAGTTTTCGAGGTATACTATAGTATACTTTTTGAGTGTGAAGAGAGAATGAATTTACCTTTTCTCCTCACTTTCCCATTAGGACACTAGGTGTTAAGTTACTGATTATTGTTTATTAGTTGTTATGCAATTTGATGAAGAAGGTCACTGGTCTTAAAACAAATATGGACAAACTAATCAACTAACAAACTAGATAGTACAACTAATTTTGTAGTAACGGCATGATCACACAAACCCCAACACAAATCAAGAACATATTCTTTTCTTTTTGGAAGCACAACAGAATCGGAAGTCAACTAACAAAATAAAGCTCCTAAACAACACAGTAACTTGACACAAATGAGTGATAGTATAAAACAAAGGTATAATATTTAGTGTTTTTGATGTAGTTGTTAATGAAATTTAAAACCAAATTGTTGAACATCTGGGAGTATCGTATATTGAAGCAAGATATTAAAATACACTATGGATGGATATTTATTTTCAAAGCTTACATGTTATTATCTGTTAAGATGAACAAGAAACACGTAGTTTACGAGACCAATCAGGAGGACGGTATTTAATCCGGGATACAAGATGAAAAGACTACAAAAAAGGAAAGATATTTTCCGAAAGTAAAATAATACCGCGTTACATAAATGTACATGATTTGATAATATTTGTAAAATTTTAAATGATATGGCTAGTAAATAAATCTATTTAGCTATGGGATGACAGAGACTTATGTTTCACGATCATAATTTTATAGGCGCTGGAGTCCAAGGTTGTAGCAGCTTAATTGCAGAATTTTAGTTGTCATTCAGGATAATCAACGGCTAGTTTAAATAGAACTAAACACTTAAAGATTATTCTACAAGTGGAAAATCGACCAATTGAGGCGTTAGGTGATATAACCAGTAACCAATAGCAACAATGCAGATACATTCACTATTTTGTCTTCTCTTAGATCCAGAGTTTCGAAATAATTTCAGACCTTCTAGTGAATTCATTATTGCCTCTCATAAATCATTGTTTATGTCAAATGTATTTTTACTGTTACAGACACTACAACTACTATTGTCCTAATATTCTTCGTGATGCACAGTTACATACTGACTACTGATAAACATACAACGTCAAAATACAGAACATTCGATATCGAGTCATTTAAACGAGTGACAACATTGCGAACTGGTTTAAAAATGACTTGATTCGCACTAAGAGCCAGGAAAAATTGACATTGGTTTTTACCGTGATCAATTGAAATCAATGGTATTTTGATGAATGGATGAAAAATTCGATTAAAAACAAGTAAATGTAAATTGGCATCTTTACTGCTTACCTCGTTATTCAAAGACATATCAGGATTTTTAAAAGGTGTGGTCAATGAGTTGAATAATTGTTGTGCAACTGTATAATCTCCTTTATCAGCTGATTTAATAGCTTCTTCGGCAAGATAATTACGTAGAACTACTCGAGGATTTACAGACTGCATTAAATTTAAACGTTCAGAGAATTGTGTTTTGGTATTATCATGATTCCCTTCGAAATCTATTTTTAAACGTACTTTGTATGCTTGTAACCAAATAGACCATAGACGTTTATTTCTCTCTTGGTATTCTTGTTCTGTGATATGCTAAATAGAAGTTAGAAAAATACTACTTCGTAAAATTTTCTATGTATTACAAAATGACTGTGTACAGTCCACGTCAACACTAAGTAGTGTGTATTACAGTCGGCGGACAAGTAAAGTGCTGTCTTATTGAAACAACCACATCTCAGATGACGATAGTTAAATAAATACACATAGTTATTCTACTGTACAAGTATAAAAGTAGATATATTGTCAAAGTAGCACTTACCCCATCGGATGCCGGCGACCATACCACAATGGTGTCGGTGTATACACTCTCTGTCTTCCCTTAAACTAAGAGATTAAAATCGCTTCATTTCATTCTTTCTACGAACTAATTCTTTCTTCCTGTACTATATCCTTGCTGTAATCTTTCTTTTATATATTACCACAACTGAATTAACTACTTTTATGAATCCAGTGTTCATCTTGTTGTGTTAATGAGGTATGGCAACATGGACCGATGCATATATGTGCCTGGTCCTACATTGTAGTTGACTAACTGGCCTCATCGGATTGTAAAAGAAAATAAATAATGAAGGTACACTATGTGTTTTTTGTTATGACTGTATTTGTTTAAAATTATAAATGAGTTATCATCACTTTCTATTATTCTGATGATAAATAAGTTTTTTAAATCACACGTCCATGGTTTACCTACTACATGGGAGTGTAAAAACTTTAACTGAATGTCCAACAGTTTTTTATTTATTTTTATAATTGGCAACTTAATTCAATAATTGCTTGGTTTGAAGCTATCACAAATTCACTTAATCTGCGAACGAGAAACAAGACTCGGTGACCAAGGACCAGTAAGCTAGCTATTGATGCGTCTCAGCCCCACTAACTAGAGGGAGAAGTCCAAGCTTGGAATGGAAAGTATATTCTGCAAAAAAAACCCAGAGACGAGCGATAACAACAAACACAATTCAAACCTGTATATACAGTGCAAAACCGTCCATGGGGAGAATGACCAAATAGCATACTAAATGACACAACGGACCAATAGCATTCAAGATATTTCCCAGTGGGAAATACGACATGAAGGTGACAAGAGCGCCTTTGGCACGAAAACAAAGAAACTCAAATTTTTTAAATAAAATTACAAAATTAGGTTGTTTCCCAAGTGAGTTCTGGGGATCTAACGTCCCCAACAATAATAAAGACGTCAACAAGATTTACAACTCAGTTTGTAAATCTATTTAGTAGTCTTAGACAGTTGTATTGTTTATATACATTAATTGTAATAATTAATATATACAATATATTTCCCCCTGTAATGAACGAACCACAAAAATAGGCTGCACAAATATGTAAAATTTTGCCTAAATACGGAAGGTATGTTTTTACAGTACAAAAGGTTCGAAGAAGAATTTACGAAATCCAGGTAAAATTTTATAATGAACACAATAATTTCTTTGATAAGCTGGTTTTAAACTCAGTTTTATAACTTGTATGTTGACTAGCATCAGAGACTTAAATTTGTGAGGACCAGGATAGAGCATCATAAGGATGCAAGATTACTCAGATAATGAGTTGTGGATAGGGAGTTCAGTGCGACAGACGTCTATCGTACTTGACCCGATCTAAGTTACCTGGTTATACCACTTCTATGTGTATTTACGAATTCATCTGCTCCTGTGGAGAAAGCTATGTTGGGCGCTTTTGTGTTCTGTAGGCCCTTACTAACATAAAACCGTCGAAATCAAGTTCCATACTATCTATAGCCTGTGTCAGCCAGGTTTCTGTGACTGCGATTATGTCTGGCTTTGTAGAGTCAATCTGTACACCTAGTTCCGATCGCTTATTAAGCAAGCTTCGGGCAATGGTGTAACAGATGCAAAGCCTGTTTAAGTGCCTTCGTGCTTCACCCAGAGTAGTTTCGGCATCATTCTCTGTCGAAGCCTTACAACTCGAAAATTTACAATTTTCAGGTCCTTTTCGCCAGCGTCTAACCTAAGTTGTAGTTGTTTTCCGGCTTCTCGTCTTTTTACACGGTCTGCCAACGGTAAGTCCTTTCGCATAAAGACTCCTGAACCCTTTAATTTGTGTCCATTCTGTAAAATTAAGTCACGTTCGTTCGAAGAGTTGAATACTACTTTGAGCAGTCTTGAATGATTTGGTTTCAAGTCCGCTAGACACCCTAATCTGTACACCTTTGTCAAGGTGACCCCGGTGACATTTTGAGGCATGAGTTGATAAAGAAGCTGCCTAATCGGTACAATGTCATGCTCAAAACCAGCTTCAGGTTCAGAGCTCTCACTCTCCTTGATTCCATGAAAAATAGCTGATCTGTCGCTATGATCAGCTTTCGATTTTTCAACTACTTTTACGGGAGCAGGGTTACGTTTTATATTCCTACTTTTCTTCCTTACAACCTGTACCCATTCGTCAACGGTGCTGGTAGAAGCAACAACAGTTGCGTCAAACCAAGTGCTGGATTTTGTGGGGTCATCGACGACCTGTGAGGTCGGGTTATGTTTACCGCTGGAAACCGATCGAGCCTTGCGATTGCGGCTTCTAGGCGTTTCCTGTTGGACCCCATCTGGGAGACGGTGAACAGAAGAACCTACTAAGTAAGTATGTCAGCATTGTCAGGTTCACTAAAAACACTCGCCGTTTTGTTCCAACGACCTTGAACGCTAAAATATGAGGCGCCCAGTCAAATAATTCAAATTCAGATTTGTGTAGCAAGGACAGAAGGCCTACGGCCTATGTTATTCCTCCTTCTAGTGTGCTTTTATGAATGTCCAATCTTCATTTGAATGAGTCAATTGAAGGTGCGGACATCAATGTTTAAGATAACAGATTCGAAGTATTGATGACTTGGTGTGGAAACCTGTATGCTACGGGTATTTTGTCCGTTCTTGGCTTTTCTACCCGCCTGCTATGTCCTCTGAGATGTCTCGATCTAATGGGAAGAAAGAGAGTAAGTTAGGTCGAAAATCATTCGCCAGTTTTCTGTACATCAAAATTAGATCTCCCCTTAGTTTGCGATGGAATGGAGTAAAGAGTTTCAACTTTCTAAACGCTCTTTGTATAGATCTGGCGATATAGATCACCATCACCTCCATTCAGGAACCTCGGTATATTATCGGCAAAGAGGAAAAGAAAAAAAAAGCCAAACCATATTAAGATACTATATTTAGTCCTTAAGAATATGCCAAGTTTTCTTTTAACAAACTCCTGGGAAGTCCCTTGGATTACCTCAGTTGACAGTGAATACCAGCATTTGGTTACCCTTAAGGAATGGAAAGTGTATCTTCAGTCCGTTCTACCGTGTAGAGTCTCCAGTTTCTGGGTGTTACCTCTGAGTTTTGTGACGGAAATAAGTTTAAGTAGGTGTTTGAGAGAATATTCAAAAGTATATAAGATGCTGTAAGCCATTGGAAGGTCACATCAACTTGGTCTGGTATACCGATTGTTCAGCTAGCCCTCACCGTCTTTGTCTAAAAGTAGATAGGGTCATGAATACAGTATATTAAGAATAACTTAACAGTTCAGTTATTAAAGTGTGGCAATGAATAACTGTTTTCTACAATTGCCCAGTTCTGTCTGTAGTGCATCATACTCAAGAGATATTTCAGCCGACATAAGCGTGGTGTTTCGACGTATAATACTAAACAAGCGTTTCAGAAGCTGGACTGAATTCGATTGTGTTGTAGGGCCAGCGAATTGTCACTAAGCCCTAGCCAAATCATCCGGCAGTCGGGTCATTGAATATCAAGCAAATCATCGATCCTCGTCAGTGGTCTCACTTTCGCTTGTATCTACTTTAACTAATGTATTTCTGTCCAACTCGAGTAGGCCTCCAATCATTTCGACATAGATCATCTACGTTGACGATCTACACTGGTGAACAAGACTTCGAATAACGCAACCTATCACTATAACCTTTATTATTGCATACTATACTTATTCTCTTTCATTTTTATCATCGCCTATGTTAATCTATTACAGTGAACTTTCGTTGCTTCATGTCAATGTTGATTAGCATTTAAACCTAAATAATTAGTTCAATCGATAGAGCTAACTGATCAACTACGTTTATAATCGGCTATCGTGGTTCTTTAACAAGCACTAACAGCATGTGAATGCTTCTGTGTAATATGTCTGTTAAAATATCAACCACTCGTGAGTATAGCCACAAGGTAACACGAACGCATATCCCTTTGTAACTTATCCACTGGTATAAGCGATACAAGATTAACTGTCAACTATAAATTAATCATTCTGCTTAACCACTATCCACTAGAATATTATTTTTTTTGACCACCGCCTACCTAATTTCCAATTGCGAAGTTCCATGGCCAAACAGAGGGCATGAATGCTAGGGAGTAATGATGGCGGTTTTCGGTGTATCGTTTGTGGCCATGGGGATTTAGTTATACGCTTTAACCAAGTCGATTTTCGAAAAGACAGTTGTACCTTTCAAAGTAGCTGTCAAATCGTGAATGTGAGGCAACGGATGACGATTAGGAATGGTTTTCTCATTCAATCGCCTATAGTCATCAGTTGTACGCCAATCGTTGCTATCCTTTTTGGCGACCATGTGCAACAGAGATGCATATGGGCTATTTGACGGTCGTATGATTCCTAAGTCCATCATGTGATCGAACTCGTTTTTCGCCAACCTCAGCTTTTCAGGAGCTAGTCGTCGTGCTTTAGAGAATACAGCTGGTCCTGTAGTCGTGATGTGATGTGTAACGTTGCTGGTTACACACGGTAGTTTCGGTTGAGTTTGTTGTATCCCAGGATACTTATCGAGTAGTGGCTGATAAAGTGGGTCTATCATTTGATTAATTGTAACTGGGGATAATCTGCAACCAGAAAAGGAGGTTACGCAAACGGAAAAATTGGTGTTTCTCTCTACTAGCCTCCGTTCGCGCGTGTCGATGATTAGATAATGGTGTTGTAGAAGGTCAATACCAATGATTGGCAAAGAAACATCTACAACAACGAAGATCCAGTGAATGGGTTTGCATAAACCCACGTTCAGGTAA